AATACGGTATTCACAGTACAAATAATCCAACAGTAGCAGATCCATTGCGATTCTACTCAAGTCTAATCTACCTTAGGATATTTTTACATCAGATATTTTTGTTACATGTATTTATCACTTCGTTTCTTTCAAATAGCCAAGTTTACACATGCATTGTCACAGACTACCGGTACCTCATAAAAATGTGTAACATGGAGCGGGATAGACTTGATCAGTATCATACCAATCGTTATAATCAAGTCATGTTTTGGCTTGAAGCAAAATTATGACCAGACACATCTCGCATAAACAATTTAAGTCAGTTTGGTTGATGTCATGCCGTAATGCCTGAAGGACATTATACCGCTCTGACGCTCCTTTCCTGTCACCTAAATAAGGAGTCGGAGTGGAATTTCCTCGTGTTTTCTTCCAATTATTTTTTTTTCGCGGGTTTTTGGACCCTCCCGTAATCAGCGAATATAATTATACTTTTTATAGCAATGTATTTTCTTGATGTCAAAAGATGTATTTTCTTGATGTCAATTTTTTTTTGCATTCACTGAATCCACCTTATAGTAAAGCCTGTTAGCGATGTTGTTCACACTGTATACATGTAGTTATAAGAGTTTTACAACTGTGTTTATAATAGATGCTCAACAATAATGCATTAATCCAATATGCTTTATTGTATTGTATTGTATTGTATTTTATTGTATCGTATCGTATCGTATCGTATCGTATCGTATCGTATCGTATCGTATCGTATCGTATCGTATCGTATCGTACCGTATCGCATTGTATTGCATTTGTAATGCATTGTATTTATACATAAGTTTGTAGTCATTTTTATTGTATGCAGGGCCCCAATGAAAACCAGTTTTAAACTGTTTGAGCATACCCTAGGTAAAGTGTAATGAAATAAAATAAATATTGTTTTACTTTTTAAATTTACATGACACCAGCTGTTACATATTCCGCGCTTCAAAGGATCTGCAAACTGCTACAGTACACAACGAATTCCTTCCGGATTTGTTTTTGTTTCTGCTTAAATTTCTATCAAGGTTCCTGCAACTTTGTTCATCGATTGATAAGAATGAGTAAAGCGGATGACGTCAGTCTCAAGAAACCTTCACCTGGTCGTCAAGAAGACTCTCGTTACGTCCGCATGGCTGACATTGTCAATGTCTGATAGTGTCACAAGGATTCCGTCATGCTTGCAAAGTACAGTTTTTAACCTAATAATTCATATCATGTGATTGGAGTATAATACTTGATTACAGGTAGTTTATGTTTAAATTGAAAGCAATAGAAGCAGATGTGAAGTAGGTATTGTTTGGATGCGAAGAATCCGCATAAGAGCTGAATTGAGTCTTCAAATGACCTACTTCCAACAAACAAGAAATGTTTTCATTTTGATATGTTTAATTGAATCACCAATTATTAGTCACCTAAATGAACTATAGGGCATGACGTGAAAGGGGAATATGTAAGCTGTGGCTTAACCTATTACTGAAAATAATGTTGGGTCTATAAGCATCGTTGCAACAAGAGAATGTTCCTCTCCAGTGATATTTTTGCTCCCAATTTAACAGATTTAGAATGCTTGAGTGGAAATAGGCGACTCAGGTAGTGATAGAAAATCGCCGAGAGAGCGCGCGACCTTTTCATTCATTTATCAGTGACAAGATCAAGGTCTCCTTGCATGTCTAAAACACGGAGGAGAAACTTCAACAAACAGCATTCCGACTCGCCAAATATTTGTGCGTGAAGCAGAAATGAGAAAACAAACACTGTCAGTCACTAATCGTTCACGCTTAAAATTATTGTACAGGAGAAAAAAATCGCCATATGTCGTCTGCCCCCAGGATATATTATATGCGACCTATGTGTTGTGACGACGATTGAAAGCATTATAGGAAGCTATATGACACACACGTCCCCTAAGGGACACAGCTGGAGTGTCATAACCGCGAGTTTGACACAATATCCATCATAATAACGATGAGGAAGCTTCTCATGTTTTGACAAGACTGTGGGAATGTTTTCCTGCCGTTTGACGTCGTCATTGGCTTTGACACACATGTAGAAAAAAAACTCATGTGTTTAGGGCAACAAGGTCCCTATGCGTATCGATATACGGCAGAGAACTAATGAAAGTCTGAAAACACTCGCGTTCATTTTTTTCTATAATTATTTGAAGTTAAAAAAATAGTCCAGACTATTTTATTTCCATACAATTTGTCTTCGGCAATGTAAGTTTATTTGGCGGGTTGATTTGAAAATTTAATTTAAAACAATATGTAACTTTAAATCTTTTGCCTGAATTAAGGACCATCTGATGATGGCAATTCAATGATGCTAGTAGACATTGCACCAATGAACTTCGATTCCGAATGCATGTTATGTAGAGTTTGTTACCAACATATTCAGTTACTTATAGTGATCGGTTGGACGGGTATTTAATCGCCCCCTGTTCGGTGTGCATTCGTAAAGTGCTGTCTTGCAGGTTTCCTAAATTGTGTAATATCGATTGACATTAAGAGGCTGGACCTACATACAGATGTCGAAATTGATCGTTTGGTTGAATGGTGCACGTCAGTTTGCGATCAACACAACATAAAAAACTAATCAAAATGTTCACAATTTCAAGCGCAGAAGTTGTTCTTTGTTCTCCAAATGTTTTGGGAATGTATAGAAACGAAAATCAATTTCGTCGTCGCATGGAGCATCTAAAACAAACCCCAAGCGATAATACAGATATATGAGATAATTCCTATTTTTCAGTATGTCATTGTCATATACGTCAATCATTGCGCACGTGATATTGCACACACAATATTGGCGGAAGCAATTGGTTCGATTGACGGTTATACTCACACCAAAATTAAACGAAAATTACACAAATGGCACTGAGAGTTTAATTTTTAAACTTTAATCTGCCAATGTTCTTTACAAGAACGTACACCAGCTTCAGCAATGAAGAATACATAACAGACACTGTAGATACATTCGGCATGTTGTCTAATGTCACCGACAATATTTAATAATTGATGAGATGTTTATAGTTTTATAAAAAAAAAAAAAGTTCAAGACCTGACGAAAGTGCAGATATCTCAGATGGATTTGTATTATTAATGTGTTAAGTACTCCAGCAATGGACACAATTTTTATTTATTTATGTATATATGCTAAGTAACATTATAGCCCTCTTCGTTAATGTACTTGTCATTATCGACTGAGCATAAGTTATTAGTTACGCAACAGGGCGATTACTCACAGCTGAACGCAATACAACTAAGTTTAAAAACAACTACAATTTTTAAAAGAATTGTATGTAATTGAACACTGCCGTCATTCGTCTTGCATCAAAACCCCGTTTTGCGTAAAAAAAATTCTCATTTTGTGGCAAGCACTATCCTTTCATGTTTCGATAAATATATTATAATTTTCCTTTTAAGAAACTGGGCTTGGGCCTATTACCACTTGTGCAATCAACCGTAAAGCATTAAACTTGGAATTACATTAACATCATCCTGAATAATTACTTCTTAACGTTATTTTTCAAATTGTTGTAAATATGGCAGCCGATTAGACCGTTCGCGCTCCACCATCAATTATATCGCTTTGCTTCATTACAAGGCTATTAAAATAATTTTAATCAGGTAATTTTTTTCAACATGTCAAAAGAAAGGCCTATACAGACAGTACGCGGCCTGCCACCATGGCCTATCTCGCATTCGTTTGTCAGTGATGAATTGTGCTATCCGTTCCTACTACATTGGATGGGAAGGTTTTTTTCGGGTACTCCATCGTTATTATCGTACCTTGGATACCTGAAGGTATTGAGGCCTAATGTGACTGTTATACCAAAAATGGATGTATGTATTGCCTGAAACACACCAATCATGGCTCTTCCATGTTCAATATGTGACAAAATCCCACAAAATGAGTTAAAGGAGTTTTTGACTAGCAACTTTTCATGCGCATTACAGAGCACATTCAGCTTTTAATTTCGATATCGGTTTGCAGCAAAATAAATGATGAATATTATGACTGCGGATGAAAACTTGGCACGCTCTTATTGATTTCAATCGTGGGAGATTTGTTTCAGAACATGTATTACTAACAAGTATGCCGGGCGACTTAGTATCATTTTGTTGGAGGGAGTCCATTAGGCCAAACAAATAGTTCTGCTTCCGGTTTCCCTACCTATACCCTTTTCTAACAGCCCCTACCCTAATTTGGAAAACCCCGCGTTGTGTCTGCCTAACACATGCATTGGATGATACTGGTATATTTGGGCTTCGCTTAAAAAGCCAAATAATTGAGTTTCAGTTCTGATAAAGAAAACAGTGAACAATATAGCATCATTTTGTAAACAGACAAAAAGGGAGGTGAGTAAGGGAAGATTATTGTTGCTAAATGGTTGGTTTGGTGTTATAATCTTTGAAGCCTGAATCTAGGAGCCCAGAATAAGCTTTCTGATACACTACATGTATTGCAAGGTTACTATAGAAATGGCAAGATGGTAATGTGTTCTTGCTAATGTGTTCCGTGAGTCTACGGTCGATACTTAGATTTTGCGCAGAAAGTATTTGATTCAGTGATGTCAATCGTGACCATTCGTATATGTGACATATCCCTTTCATAATGACGAAAACTGAAATAAGGTCATATTCAGTTTGAGGTTATATGACATTTATATTGCATCCATTTGAGGGACGTGTTTAACCTTATGTTTCTACGAGTCACCGATGGAATAGTAGAGATATTGATTTTCTCTTTGACTTTTTGAAGGATGTATTGCTTGTTTTTAACGACAGACAGACAAACAAAGTTTGCTTTGCCCACTTCCAATTAGGCCTAAGTAAGTGAATTCCCTAAATGTGAGGTTTCTTACACATTTTTCTTCTGATCGACTGTGATCAACGTCTCTGTTCAGACTTGGAAGACTGTATTGCAAATCACAATACCAAATCAGATTAATTAAATCAAATTGTTTACATCAACTGCAAACCTACCTGAAAATGAATCCACACACAAATTGATGTCAGTCCTGAACGTCTGGTTCTCCGGGCAGCGACAAGTACATGGATATTCCCTTAGATCACACCGGAGCCTGACCGCCCGAGCCTGCCGGCACAGATCACCACACCGCGGGCAGGCACTGGTCAAAGCGTCACCATCGTCTCGCCGCGTAACGTTCACCCAGAACTTATCTCCCGTACATTTGCTGAGACTGGCCTCATCAAAGGGCGACCCTTGCTGCTGCTCCTGCTGCTGCTGTTGCTGGTCGCTGCGAGCTGACATAAGGGGCAGACCGAGGATCATCGTCAGAGGCAGCAGGGTGGATGATACCAGCATACCTGGTGCAGGTGGCAAACTCCCGGCGTGAGTGGGTGGCAATGGACGCTACTCCTATGCTACCAACCATGACACACTACGGACACCACGGTAGATGCAACCCGAGTTGGCAGGGTTGAGATAACACAGCGCACAGGGCAGATACCTGCTTGCTCAGTATACACGTTCTCATCTCATCCAAAAAAGGGCAAAATCAGTTGCATTATTTAGTCTGTTATCTGTGGTCTTCAACATTGTTAGTATACTCCGCCCATAGATGTGCATGAAAAACATAAATGTTGCGTACAGTAACCAAAAGCGCGTACGTGATGATCATTTCCTGTTCATGCACAGTAAACCCAGTACATTTTTATTACACGACTCAGCAAAAACTAACGTCGCATCCCTGTGTGGAGGTAGGAATGGTGATAGTGCGAGTGCACTGCATAGCACCGCGCGACTGCTTAGATTCTTAGGCCTATTTTAATTACTCATCGTTGCATATCATTATCGAAGCAACGTGGAACCTTGTCGACGTGTAACTATCGTTTCGAGTCAAGGTCGTGTGGCACTGCGCTCACCCGAAAGTCGTCCTTTTGAACTGCAAGTGCGTTTGTTTATTGTTGTGAGGTATAACCAAACCGTACCTTGCTATCTACCGTAGACGAGTTTCTATGCTGTATCGAGTTTCTATGCTGTATTTTCCGTCTTGTATATACCGCTCACGCTAAACAACACACATAATGCAACACGCACACGTGCACAGACCAACTGTTAAGCGTAGTGATTTCGAGTGCCTCGTCATCCGCCTATGTAACTCCACCCGTATACTTCAGATTTTTTCAATTACATCCAACTGTTCGGTCTAACGAACCTAATTTATAGTTTGATGAGCGACCGTCGTTCAGCGACCTTTTTGTATAGAGACTGTTGACCCATGATTGCATACATGGGTTGATACACGCTGACTTGCTCCACTGATTTCATATTTCTTGTTCCCACCGGCACGGTATTGCCTACTCCTAGATTTCAATACTCATCAATAGGCCTATCCGGGGTTACAGCACGTGAAATATGTCAGCATAATGTGTGTATTATTCGGTGCATTTTGTACACGTGGTGATGAATACTCACATCACATCGGCAATCGTGCCTCTGAGCTGCCTACTTTCCTCCGCACACGATGAGCAAATGAAGCGCTTTCACATGCCGCACTGTCGCAGCACTGACCGTTATCTCGGCACACACACACACCGTACCGCCCTCAGCATCAGGCTTAAAGCCATCAACTGTCTTCTCTTTGCCCGACTGCCCCATACACCCAATCAGCCCATATACCCATCATTGGCTTACATGACTGTGACGTCACACTGCCTGCCGTTGAATATTTATGTCGAAAATCGATGCTCAGCGCTTCACCACTCACACCGAAATCACCACCGTCTCTCTTTCTGTCTTTCTACAGAAAAAAAAGTGACAGTCAGTGCAAAGAATCAATGTCAATCCGACGTGTCCCCTTTCACTTGAAGACATATTCAGAGCTACTAGTGGCGAATTTCCAGACTGACATTTCAGGCAGACAAACATGACAACTGTGGGTGTACTTGCAGGGTTGTCAAATCCTCCCTTACCATCTGGAAGGTCGTGGGTTCTGATCGATACTGACCATCACCCCCCCCCCCCCCCCCCCCGCCTTCCCCTCCCCTCGCACTTACGGTTCCTTACGCTCCGTTGATCACACTACACCGTTCCATCTATCTCGACTACCAGCGACCTCCTGAGTAGTGTTCTTTCTTGTCTGTCTGTCTGTCTGTCTGTCTCCTTTGTGGAGTAGCCTAGGCCTACATCACCACAGAACTTCTACCCTCGCCGCTGTTGAATACGTCGCTACTGGCATTTGTTCCGTCTTCAGGTTCTGCCGATGAAACGAAACGGTCAGGTGTGGTACCGAATACCTTGTGTGCGATGATCTTACGACAGTTGTTGTCTTTGATGGTGATATGTGCCTGGTGCCTTGAGACAATTGAGGCCCGCACGTGTGTGACTGATAATCTCCAGATATCTCTCTGTTACGCAGAAAGTGCATTAGCTTTGGTTTACAAGATTGGTTGGAAATATGACAGTTCATTATAAACACATTAAAGCAAACCATTAGTGTAACATAATCATTGAAATCAATACCCCTTTAACATGACAATAATGTTATCCATTTTAGTAATTGGTCTCTGCTCACAATATGTCACTGTTGAGAACTGTACTATTAGGACACGAATTCTAATTGATTTGATTAGTCGCAGTGTGCCATCGGGACCTGTGCGTCCGTCACAGTGAAGTATCACGGGGCCAACTTGCCTGGCCTGGCGTCGCCGAGTACAAAGCAGAATCTAATTACGACACAGGATTTGGGCGCCAGCGAGCCTGTATATTATAATGTTGTTTCCTTCAATAGATAAACCAATGTTATAGTTTTCTCTCCAGAACTTGCGCCTTTCTATACGGTACTAAGTGGCGCTGCTTGCCTCATTTCTTTCCGTTCTCACTGGTAGATTTTGTTCAACATTAATTACGTGTTCGCACGACGCGTGTGCGCGTTTAGGCGAGCGTTGGTCATATTAGTCGTATTAATTACACAATGTTTTGCGTTTCCTTGACAATAGGCGAGTAGCTGTTAACATTACCCTCACCATCGTGGAATCTTTTAAAGGCGAAAAGGGTGGACACTTGAGGAATTGCTGTTAACGAGTTGATCTACATTACACAAAAACTACATCACTTTGCTTTCAGAATCGTCAATGAGTTGAGGTGATATAGACATACTTGCGTTCGATTCCTGCATTTACACCACAATTACAATGCTTTTAAAGCACATCTTCCCAATCCAGCCTAGTTGGTACCCATCTATTCATAGGTCTATAGGTCATTTGCATTAGCTGCAAAGTCTTTTTTCCTGCCATAGACGAAGACACACTAGTTCAGATATACTGGTTGTCCACAGACCTCGACAAATTTTCAAGCCGCAGACAAGACAGAATTACAAAGTATTTCGGATAGGGTTACTGATGGAGTGAACTAGGCGCCATATTAGGATCTTGGTAGTCGAATGCACTCTTTATTTGCCGTTCGTGATCGGACTACGGCAGGCGTCATTTTGCACGACGCTCGAGTCATTTTGTGCGACGCGTTTCCTGCGCCGAACGGAAATGAATTCTCCCAACGCCGAGTGAGTTATCACCTGCAGTATCCTGGCAAGCAAAGAAACCAAATGATCATTACATTTCTCTGGTGTTGTTTACTATATAGAGTCTAAGATCTGTCTTTTACAAAATGGTAAAAGCAATGTCGATTGTGATGCACGAAAAAGCTCCTCGCATAGCTCTACGGATGCCAAGAAACTTAGTCGAAAACCAAGATAGTGCCAAATAATATATAGCTGATTGTGTTCGATGAGCTTGAGAAATTTAAAATAACATCTAAATAATCATGGAGACATATCGGGCATTTATAGTTTGTACCTGCCGCAACTTGGCAAATAGAATTGTTGTGATCGTGCAATTCTCTCAGAGCGTTAGTAGTTAGTAACTCTATGAAGAAATATTGGGCTCTGCCGCTCTGGCAACATTACCGTCATATGAATTTGTTACCCCCACTTTTGTTCACTTAATTTTACAGTTTAAATCTGGCGCGCAGAGTACCACACGGAGGTCCAGGGCTACATAATCGGATTAACGCTGGCCCTGTGTAGCTGTGCGTTCAACCCTAAAATGTGGCCCGGCACATTCCATTCATAAAATGGTTAAAACAAACCTATACATGACAATGTACATATAGGATTTGTGCACATATCGATGTGAAGGTATGCCTAATAGTACAACTTCTTGTCCGATTTTGTCAAACTTGATACAAACATCTTTTTTCATTTTTGAATTCTTCAAGAAATCTGACGTATACACTAACGTGTATATGCATATAGATATCCTCCCCACAAACAAAATAGTACAGCCCAATAAACAAGTGCACGTTCTTTCCATCACAAATTTCTATAACTGCCTTGAAGTGAACAGTATTCAGATCCAAAATTACATTATTTTAATTTTATTAATTCATGTCTTTTATTCATTAATCATAAATCAACAACAACAACCAAAAGACATGGAGGAAACCTAGAACATCATGAACATGAAAGACGAATCAAAAGAAACAGTCTAAATGTCAATGAAGCAAGGAACTAGAAATTAATGTAGAAGTAAGAGACAAATTGACAAATTAAATAATTAACAATTTACCATAACAAGAAAAGCGTAACAAGAAAAGCATAAACCAGGGAATAACGATTGCTTGGCTAGGTCAAGGGAATATTGATGAGTGGGATGGGCGATGTGAAAGAATACCTTAATCTTGAGAATCAATCCAAACGGGGCTGTATTTTGAGTAGAAGATTACGAAGGATGAGACCAGTGCTGTTTTTGACAGGTGAGTGGTGAGTTGCCGTATTTCGGTTTTTGTCATCAGATTGAATAGGGAGCGGATTTGTGTTTTATTGTTTTCGTCTATGAAGCCTCTACTTCCTATTTCCAAGGCGATGAGTTTGGAGTTGAAACCTATCTCACGCAAATTAACTCCTAAAAAGACCACAGTTTTAATGCCAGATAACTGATTTACAAAATGGATAGTTTTTAAATGTCTTATCTAAAGTAGAACTGGAGAAAACGTGTCTTGAAAAACAGGTGATGAGCAGAGTCCAAGATCACGAAACACGTGGTAAGCAATGGTACATCGATGTAGGTCTCGAACGATGCCTTATCGATCGAAAGTTGTCATTGGCCACTTTTTTTCTTTGTGAAAAGTACGGTGTTTTTTTTTCAACCAATCATAACAAGGTTTACATGTAAGGAAAGAGGAGGAGCTAAGCTATTCGATTCCGTTTACCCCCACACTATTCGATACTCTAGTCAGGAGTTACAGTCAAAAGAGTCGACGCGAGGGCGCTCAATCGGTGCGTTTACACAGGAAAATGATGAAAAGTTCACATTTTCAAAGCCGAAATTACGGGGATTTTTTTCAAGATAAAAAAAAATAACATATACCATGAGAAAGAGAAAGAGTTAAATTGTACAGAACCGTTTACCCCCATTGAAAAAGACCGCATGGTTATCAAACTATGACTCGAAACATCGAAAAAGGGGCCTTTTTACCGGGATTCTCGCCCACAACAAATTCATATATCCTCTCATGAAATCAGCACATTTGAGCAATAGTAACATTGTGTGCGCAAAATTGGCGCTGCTACTGTGGTTCTAACTCAGCTGTTACGTAATAACCCAAATGGCATGAATGTAGCCTTGCTTTCAAGTTTCAACCATACTGTGCAAAGGGTACATAAATATTCACAATAAGGGTTTTCTGGTTGGAGAGAAAATCAACTTCATGGAGGACAACTACGATGCAATCAGTTCAGACAAGGTGCCTTACACCTGCAATGATGGTGATCGCCGGCACCATGCCAATGTTTTAAAGAATGTGTGATGACTGTTTATAAACGGTCACCGACATATTTGACAAATTAGCATCTTCCAATATCCTTTCCAGCGAATGTACCGAAAACTCAAAAGCAGCTAGCTTGAACCGACCCGTGTAATTTCAAAGGAATGCAGCATTGTGCGATCACACATCGCGACTCCACAAGTGCAATGTCAAGTACTCAGTATACGGCTAATTTGCGGACGGGTGTTTACTTTTGAGACGGCAGTGCCGCCGAGGGGATTCCGGTAAATCATCCTGCCCCTGGATGGAATTATAGATGGCTAGCAATATACACAGAGCTAGAGAGCCTTGATCGTTAAAGGCTCAAGCGAGAGTGTTTTTTTTTTTCGTGAGAGATAAATTACGTCCGCCAGAGGTTAACCGCGCTGTCCAAGAGGCAAATACTGCGGGGATTGTATGCACAAGTAAGTCTACATCTGCCTCCTGATTCATCTCACCATGTCTTATTTCTCCATGATCTCTCCGTGCGGACTAAAAACAGATTTTGGTTGACAAACTTAGCAAAAGCACTTCAAAACAGCAGAATCAATGAAATCATCATCACCTTTATCATGAAGTATGGATATTTTTTAGCACAACATGTGGCTGCTTCGGCACGAGGGGTTTATCTTGCTATTTACGAATTGAAAGCCGTTCTAATATAAATTTCATCTCTTGCATCTAATTTCTAATTCATTCTAGACTCAATTCTTGCGACTTCCCACAAGTGACTGCTGACGATACCGATATGGATGTGTGAGGGTGTAATACGTGGTCCTGCCTAGCCTGCCCGGGCATCCAGTAACAATTGCAGGGACTGTCCATCAATACTGAACCCAATTCTGTACTTCAAGCAACCTGCTCGATAAAAACTGCCACAATATGACGAAATTTGGTCTGAATTTACCTAACAGCCGCCATCGACCCGGTCGATTTAGCAAATAAATTCGACTGAATTTTAAATTTCTAGGAGTTAATTTGAAAAAAAAACTACTGTCACTTTTTAAATGTTAAATCCGGTTTCCCCTTTATTTATGTTTTCACACGTTCATGAGATGTATCCCATCTTCTGTATA